AATTCACACCAGAATATCTGGTCATGGGATTTCATCAAAATTAACACAACTTTCCTCAAATGAGTATGAATTCAAAACTTGAAATTAATTGGGGGGGGGGGGGGGGGGGGGGGGGGGGGGGAGATCACGTGTAACCCCAGCAAACACCTGGCAGTTCCTGAGTTTAACGTAACGTCAGATCACAGCTTAGGCTTTTTGTTGTGAAGTGTCACATGCTCGCAGGGACAACACACCTGTACACGTTTCCTCGTTTTATTTACAAATGTACAAATCAGCCTCAAATACACCGCTCACAGGAATTAAAGGAAAACTTTTTTTATTAGGCCTGGCATGAAATCAGTTAAACCTGTCTGATAATTTCCTGGTTGATTAAGCAGCTGAGGGCATTGTTAATCACGCTCAGCTGTACTGGTGTTCATGGACGTAACGACAGGTGCACTAAAGTGGCAACAATTACAAAACCCTCGAAACAGGACTGGTTTAACATGTAGAGGTCAAGTTTCTTCCTCTTGATCTCTTTCGGCTGGTTTTCCACTCGTGCTAGTTTGGCTCTCTGCTGGCGGTATGCGGCGATGCCTTAACCCTACAGAAGGTGCACAGGTTGTCCAACTTCTCCAGGATGGCACATCCACACGTGCTGCAGCAAGAAGGTTTAATGTGTCTCCCAGCACAATCTCCAGAACATGGAGGAGATTTCAGGAGACTGGCGGTTATTCTGGGAGAGCTGGACAGGGCCGTAGAAGGTCCACAACCCGTCAGCAGGACCGATACCTGCTCCTTTGTGCAAGGCGGAACAGGCTGAGCACTGCTCGTGCCCTACAGAATGACCTCCAGAGGGCCGCTGGTGTGAACGTCTCCACCCAAACAATCAGGAGCAGACTTTATGAAGATGGCCTGAGTGCCCGACGTCCTGTAGTGGGCCCTGTGCTCGCTGCCCAGCACCGTAGAGCTCGACTGGCATTTGTTCAAGAACACTGGAATTGGCAAGTCCGCCACTGGCGCCCTGTACTTTTTACAGACGAGAGCAGGTTCACCCTGAGCACCTGTGATAGGCGTGAAAGAGTCTGGAGAAGACAAGGAGAACGTTATGCTGCCTGCAACGTCGTTCAACGTGACAGGTTTGGTGGCGGGTCAGTGATGGTCTGGGGAGGCGTATCCATGGAGGGACGCACAGACCTCTACTGCCTAGGAAATGGTGCTCTGACTGCCATAAGGTATGGAGATGAAATCCTTGAACCCTTTGTCAGACCCTACGCTGATGCAGCAGGTTCTGGTTTTCTCCTGATGCACGACAACGCCCGGCCTCATGTGGCAAGAGTATGCAGGCAGGACCTGCAGGATGAAGGAATTGAAACAATTGAATGGCCTTCACGATCCCCTGACTTAAACCCAATAGAACATCTGTGGGACATTATGTGTCGGTCCATTAGGGGGCGCCAGTTGCTCCTCAGACTGTACAAGAGCTCAGGGATGCCCTCACACAGATCTGGGAGGAAATGCCACAAGGCACCATCCGTTGTCTCATTAGCAGCATGCCCCGACATTGTCAACCATGCACATAAGCTCGCGGGGGCCTCACAAGACACTGAAAAGCAATTTGAGTTGCAGAAATTAAGTTTTTGAAATAATGGACTAGCCTGCCACGTCTTCATTTCACTCCGATTTTAGGATGTCTACACAACTGAGCCCTCTGTAGGCTGATAACTTTTATTTCCATAAAAAGACTTGGCATCTTTTTGTTCCTAAGACATTGCCCTGTCGTTATTTGTATAGATATCCAACTTCAAATTGAGATGTGATGCATCTAATGTGTTTCTTTAAAGTGTTCCTTTAATTTTTGTGAGCAGTGTATATTTTTAACATGTGAACATTTAAATGTGTCACTATGCCTCTCCTAGTGGACACTTGTGTTGTGATGTCTGAAGTCTGTTGCATATCTGTCTGAGGTGTTTTTTTGCAGAGCAAAGCTACCCTCCTGGTGGAGGGTAACTCTGAAGTGCCTTTTTTCCCTCCACCTGAACCAATCCTCATGTAACCCTCTTATCTCTATTAAGGTAGCATGACTCAGGGTTGCTGATGACCACAGTCACCAATTCTTGTCATGTGTCTTGCCCATGTATGTCTGATCTCTGAATTGTGTGTACTGAAACTCTAATTTCCCTCTGGGATTAATAAAGTATCTTTGATTGATTGATTTGCTTCTAGTCCCCGCAACTAGGCCCAAAACAAGAGGAGACGGCATTTTCGATAGCAGGCCAGAAATTATGGAATGATCTTCCATTATCTGTGTGACTCTCCACGTTATTAGAAGTTTTTAAGAAGGCGCTGAAGACCCATCATTATAATCTGGCTCTTAAATCTGTGTTAACTGATGTTGTTTTGTATTTTTTATTTGGTTTCCTATATTTTCTTTGTTTTTATCTTTTTTAGTTTAGTCTTGTTCAGCACCTTGGTGACATAATACATGTCTGTAAGGTGCTTTTATAAATAGAGGTGATGATGATGATGATGAAGACACTTAATCAACGTTGCCTGCTGGTGGTGGTCAGAGGGACCGGTGGCGCCAGTGCTCGGCAGCCTCGCCTCTGTCAGTGCGCCCCAGAGCAGCTGTGGCTACATCGTAGCTCATCACCACCAGTGTGTGAATGTGTGTGTGAATGGGTGAATGACTGATTGTGTTGTAAAGCGCTTTGAGGGGTTCCAGGACTCTAGAAGGAGCTATATCAAATACAGACCATTTACCATTTACAGGGTGGAACGCTGAGGTGAAATAATAAACACTTTATGACAAAAATGTATGTTTATTCTAGCATCATGGGATAGTCTAAAGTCAGGAGTCAACTAGTCCACTTACCATGTTACCCTGTGTTAGAAAGAATGTTTCATATTGTCAATATTGTTTGCATAATTACAAAATAAAGGAAGAAATTAAGATTATTTCAGTTTAAAATGACAAGAAAACACTGTAAAAAATCAGCTCACATAATTGACTTTAGCTGCTGTCAAATTTTGTCTCCTTTTGTGAAGTTTTCAGGAGGTTTTTCTCGCTTTGTTCACATTCTAACTAAAAACATCAAATTTACTCTCGTAACACAGCTCTGCATCAGTTTTCTTGTAAAAAATGCTGAACAGCTTTTGGAACAGTGGCCTTAATGCTCTACTGTCAGTCCCGGACCAGTGAAGTTCTGCTGCTAACACTGAGTGTGGGAGCAGGAGGAGTAGAGGAACAGCAGGATGAAGCAGTCGATCAGCAGGATGCTGTAGAAACATCTCTGTGTGTGCAGACTCCGACCCCTCTGGAATCGTGTGAGCAGCACGGCCAGCAGGAGGAAGAAAGTTGCGGTGTTCAGGAGGAGGAACATCCTGATGTAGGAGGGCGTACTGGAGACACCGTCGCTCCTTACCGTGGACACGTGAATCTCCTTAAACTTGCGACCCTTGACGATTCCACCCTTTCTGTTTCTGCGGCCGTCAGCGTAATCGATGAAAGCCCATGAATCTGCATTTCCTTCCTCTGGACTGTCCTCATATGTCCTCCTCAAAGTCCTTTGTCTCTCTTTCTTTTCATTCAACTCAATCTGTGCAAAAATGTCTGGAAGACTCTCAGAGAACTTTTCCCCCAAGTTCACTCTCCTCCCCCCTTTACTCTTGCTCTGTCTCTTGGACATGGCAAACATCTTCTCGATGACCTCCTCAGTTTTCTTTTTGTCAGTGAACTGGAGGAGACGCTCCGCAGTTTTACGGAAGCTGGCAGTGTTGAGGACCCGTCCCAGGATGTGCCTCTCCATCTGCTGGAAGACGGGCTTGACATGTTGGAGGTTGTCCTCCACCACATTGACGTATTCTTCTACTTCTTCAGGTGAACTGTTTTCTACATTTGCCGTCCTCTCAAACACCACCTTCTTTTGATCTAGCAGCACCATGGCAAACAGAGGCCTGCTGGTGACCTCTTCAGTCAGCAGGTAGATTGTGTAGGTGTGCTCTTTGGTGGAAAGGTATATACCTACTCTCTGATCATCTCCACGTAAACTGAAGCTCTGTACATCCAAGTCTGGTCCAAAGAAAATATAGGCCACCCTGGTGTGGGGGTACCGCAGAGGCATTGTGACATTCACGTAGTTTGAGCCATTGTAAGGATACCCTCGAGGGTAGGTCCAGTAACCTACCGACCCTTTGTTACTGGAGTTTGTGTCGTCCATCCAGAACATCTTGTATTTGTCCTCCCCATGGGTTATAAATGCTCCATAAACACCATCTACCTCTGTACTCTGGAATGGCAGCTCCGTATTGTGAAAGAAAGAACTCATGGCTCTGGATGGACTGTCTGGATCCAGATGGATGTGGTCCACCAAGAGCAGGAGCTGTGGGTGAAGAAGGAGCAGGTTCCTCTGGAAGTTCTTGACCTTCAGTTCTGAATTATAAGCAGAGTGTGCCTCACCACGGATGAAGACCATTCCATCTTTCTTCATGGCAGCTTCTACTCTGCCTTGAGCATCAGCTGCCGGACCCAGTTTGTACTTGAGCCACTTGGAGTCACAGGCTTCTGTGACCTGTCCAGCCCAAGGCTTAAAGCAGCTTCCTGAGAGGGCTGGCCCAAACATCACCGCGTTGTTCAACAGCGTGTACTTAGGTCCGTATAGTGCCTCAGTGATGAATGGCACACCGTTAGGTGCAAAGGTGAAGGAATTCTGGTCAGGGTGCTCGTGACCAGCATTGAAGTTCCTCCACCCCTTGACCCACTCTTTATACTTGTTCCTGTGAACAATATCAAAGATGGCGCGTCCTCCCAGCTTCCCAGACTTGAAGGACAGAAAGGTGCCATTGATGTCTGCAGGCAAAGCACTGCCATATGTGACCACACCCCAATCCTCGAAAAGGTGGAGCTGAGATGTTCTGAAGTCTGGTGGGGGTTTGGGGATAAGACCAGGATCATACCTGCATCACAATCAGAATAGATGGTTAGATGAAGGAAAATGAAGGGTAAGCCCAAAAAAGATGACCTAAAATCCAATTTATTAGTTTGACCCTTCCGTGTTCCTACTAGGGTCCAATAGATCCCCATTTGTTTTTGAATTTTTGAGGAGTGAGCACCACCTCTCCCCTGCCCCACGGCCCTAAAGGATGAACCACCAACCCTGCTCAACCATCCTCTGTCCTAGACGGGGCGGGTGGGGGTGTGTGTCACTCGAAATGACAGTGGGCGGGTTAGGTAATTCTTTAAGGATGACCCACAGAATTTAGACTCGATTGACTGAGACAAAGCACATGATGCTAAATCAACAAATCATCCTAATGCTTCATATCTTTATGAAAAATAAGCTTCAACAAGCTAGAACTGCATATTTTTCATCACTAATTGAGGAGAATAAGAATAATCCTGAATTTATTTTCAGGACAGTTGCCCAGCTTAGACAGAATCGTAGCTCTGAACCATATACTCCCTTTGCCTTCAGCAGCAACGACTTTATGGGATTCTTCACAGATAAATTGATTCTATTAGAAACTAAATTATTAGCATCCTCCCTAATGCAATTTCTTCTTCCTCAGTAAGTGGGGCAGCATCAGAGGTGACTGTAGAACCTTTTCCCTTTTAACTTTATTTATAAAGCACTTTAAAATCAGCCCTAACTGACCAAAGTGCTGAACATAAAAACATAAAAGCATAAAACAGAATAAAATAGAATACAGTATAAAGGTTAAAGCACACTAAAATAAAACACTAAAAATCAAATAGAAATCCAAAACTTCATACGGTATCGAAAGCCAATTTAAAAAGGTGGGTCTTTAAAGTTGATTTAAAGGTTTCCAGAGAGGAGGCCTTTCTAAGATGTGCCGGCAGAGTTCCATAGTCCGGGAGCAGCAACAGCGAAGCCCCTATCCCCTCTGAGCTTACGCTGCGTCCTTGGAACATCCAAGAGCAACTGGTTAGATGACCTGAGCGACCGAGAGGAGGAGTGAATGTGCAATGGCTCAGAGAGGTAGGGCGGGGCAAGACCGTTTACAGACTTAAAAACAAATAGAAGAAGTTTTAAATGAGCCCTAAAATGGACAGGCAGCCAGTGCAGTGAAGATAAAACAGGAGTGATGTGTTCACTCCTCCCTGTACCAGTTAAAAGCCGAGCAGCAGCATTTTGCACCCGCTGAAGTCGAGACAGTGAGGACTGGCTCAAACCAAAATACAAAGAGTTACAGTAATCCAGACGAGTTGTAATAAAAGCACTGAGGCTGAAGGATCAACAGCAAGAGGTGATTTGAGGGCCCGAATATTATTCACTTTATCCACAAAGAAATTAAAAAATGTTCCACAAGCTTCTGAAGAAGGTTCTGTATCAGACACAAGGCCCGCGGGCCAGATGTGGCCCACCGAGCATTTTTATGTGGCCCGTGAGATAAATATCAAAAATACATTAAAACTGACTCGCTGGCCGATTTTACCTCAAAGACTACAACTCCCATGATGCTTTGAGGCGTTAGTGCGGAGTCGAAGCGCCCCCTCTGTGTTTTCCAACTAACGTCCAGACAGAGCTGATATAACTCCAGCGAGCAGCGACACGCTCAAACCAGCACGACTCTGTGGCTGCTGTCGTGTTTCCTCCCCGACACACACCAACGTGCTCAAGCTGCTCAGACATGTTCATCAGCACAAACCTATGTGAGCACCTGTTGTCATCTAATGTTGTCATTATTATGATGAAGATGAGCAAAACAACAGGAGTCTCCTCCTCAGCTCAGATCAACCCCATGATGCAGGTATCTGGCTGGAACAGGTGAGCATCACAGTAAACCAGTGGAGCAAACTGAGCTTTAAATATGTTGGTTTGATGCTCTTTTTCTGCTCCAAAACATGAAAGTTAACAGGTGAGATGTTGCATTTTCATTTAAGATAAAATGATATTTTTATTTTGTTGTTGGCCCGTGAGAAAAGATTTAACCTACAGTAAACAGGAAGTGGAAAGGCTGCAGATAGATGAATAGAATAGAAAATCCCTTTATTGTTCCTCAGTGGGGAAAGCTAGACGTCACAGCAGCGATGACACGTATTACAGGAGAAAAAAGGAGAATAAAAAATAAGAAAAATGAATAAACAAGAAAACATAAATCCTGAATAGATTTAAAAATGCTGATTATACCACAAGTAATGAATACCACTGATGCCTTTTATTTAAAACTGACTTGCTCGTGTGTAATTTGGTTATTCCACATTCAGTGTTAATGCAGAAATAAGTTTGTTTCCAAATTTAAAGGTTCAAAATTGCATTTTAGTTGATAAAGAAAATGTGCAAATTTGCCGTCACTTTTTCAAAAATATTAAGTTTGGCCCTCGACTCCGTCCCAGAGTCTCATTTCGGCCCCGTGTGAGTTTGAGTTTGACTCCCCTGCCCTAAACCATCACTCTGTGGAGCAGTCCGCGTGGTCTCAACAGTGAGGAATAAAACACGAGGCTTGTGCCGGTTGGACAGAATTATATTGGAAAAGAATTTCCTTTTGGCATTTTTAACTGCTGCCTGAGAGCGAAACCAGCAGTCCTTTAACGTCTGAAAGGAGACCTGCAGCTTGTCCGATTCCCATCTGCGTTCAGCTTTTCTGCACTCCCGCCTGACAGCTCGAGTACCATCGTTTCACCAGGTTCAGTTTTCTCCTGTATGGTTTTTAACGGAGCCACAATATCTAGCATACAGGTGGAATGGAACCAGGAACTGAGTTCTTCTGTGCCAGATACGAGGTCAGGAGAGAAGGTGGTTTGTGTAAAATGAGCTGAAAAACCTGCAGCAGTAAAAGTTAGACTCCAAACACCGGACGAACACAGGCCCATTCCAGAGGTGCTGGTACCCTTGGGCTGAGGCCAGCTGCTTACCAAAGGAATTCTGTGTGCAGAGTGCACCACCGCTGGCCTTTTCCTGCCTGGCCCGGCCCTTCTGTCACCCTGTTCTGATGAATCTGCTCTGCCAGCCAGTTCCCACTGCCGTTACGCAACACGAACCGATCCAGGAACACCAGCTGGCTCTCTGGCCCGTAAAACCAGTTGTAGTTGGAATCTGCGATGGCCACGGTGCGCTGAAATCCTAGTGAGACAGTCAGAGGTGAGAGAGAGGAGGACTTCATGAGAGGCAAAGAGATACACAAAATATCTCCAAACAATCTTTGGATTCTCTGAAAATGTCAACAGCAGGCCCCCTCAAAGAGCTTTCTGCCAAAACATACAGCCCGTTCACAGTTTTGTGATCAATCAATCAATCAATCAATCAATCAAAGCTTTATTTATAAAGCGCCTTCCGCAACCCTGTCAGGAAGCCCAAAGCGCTGAACATGGTACAGTTGTAAGTAATTATACTGAATAAATCAACAATAAAAGAAATTCAAATTACAAAATACAAAATGGAAATTAAAAGATAGATGAAACATTCCGGTAAAATACAAATGTGTGAGACACAATTGGATTGAGTGGATGGATTGAGTGTACCAATGAAAACTGTGGAATGGAGTCAACATAGTAGAGGGCCAAAATCAAACATGTTCTGGAAACGCCAAGCGGAGGAGGTGTGTTTTTAGGTGATTCTTAAAGACTGGCAGAGAAGGGGATGTGTATTCATGCCAGATGAGCCGGTTCTAGTGTTCTACAGGATGTGATCAGAGTCCCACGTGTCAGGCTGGAGCAACAACTCCACCATGAACCAGTGCTAGCACCATCCCCGTGTTGACCAACAGAACCAACAACTGAACGGTTGGGATGTCTGTGCGCTGCCCGCTACCGTAGGGCATGTTTTAGTTTCAGCTCCCTCCTTCCGTGACACGTGAGACTGGAACATGTCCCGGCTGTTGTCCCAGGCCCAGGACAGGCTGTCAGCTGGCCTGCTCACACTTCCTGTTTAACTCTCATGTTACACCCAGCCATCCACCTTCTTCTGTGTTTTCAGAGCTGGGCTGAAGAGAGACCAGCTCCAGCTGCTCCTCGGGGACAATTTGTGTCTATAGGCTCCAATAATAAGTTTTTGTGCCAAAATGGGAGGTGGCCACCACCGCCATTTTGGCCGTGTCACAGGTTCCGTCAAGCCCAGACAATTCCATAAAAGGGAAATGACGTGGAGCTGAGGGTGTGGCTGTAAGGCTGGGATCAAATGACGACACCCGTCGAACTGAAGCGATTTAGCTACAAGCTAACCCAAAGCTAACGCGGAGGTGGGAGCTAAGCTAACGGAGGTAGCAATCTAGCTACAACCGGAGTTAACTGTGCACAACACCAGAGCTTCTGAGTCAGAGATACGCCGGGCTGACCGCTGGGTAAAACCGGGTGGAACACAGAGGTCTCCGAGAGCTCCACAAGCCGGCAGCCGCACAGCAGACAAGCGCCGCTGCGATCTGAGATGCGCAGAGCTGCCGCTGGGGAGAGGGGACCATTTCGATAGTGGGAACCCAGCTCCACCAACATGTTATATTTCAACCCATTTTCTAAAGTGCAGCATTATGTTAAATGCACTGGGTTTTACCCTATTACATTTAAATTTCATGGTTAAACAGTACATGTTAAAATCTAAGCTCAGCTCGGCAGTGACCTAAAATACATAAATATAATTTTACTTACCGAAAAAAATGAAGTGGAGACTCCTTGGACGCTCTATTAGTGCAATTAATGCCACAGCAAGTCATTTTGTCCAACAATTGCACAAATAATATCCAAAAAGAACGCACAAACGCTACAACTAATGATCTAAGCTGAGAGAGTGAAAATCCCGGAGCAGTTTCCAGGCCAGACCGAGGCTCTACTGAGGCCTTTCCACGGAGCTAGCTCTGTGGTCACGTGGGTCTGATGCTCATTAATTATACAGAATTTTAGGCTTTTAATACACTTAAACAGAAGAGTGAGAAAAACATTCACCCCCTCAGAGTTGTCATGAGTGTAAACTAGATCATTTAAACCAAAAACATGTTCTGGTACCAGGCTGTAAACATGTTTATTTCTGCTGTGAAATTGGTATTTTTAACATGGGAGTCAATGAGGATTTGCTCGCTTCTGACACCAGCCCCTAGTGGATGAGGGTGGAACTGCAATTTATTTCATTTCCTGTTTTGCTTCATATCTAGACCCGAATTATGGGGGCTTGGGGAATCCTTGTTTGATGCCCAAATCAACTGGTCAGCTACCTGGGGAAGAGGGTTTAACAGAACTTGAGGATGTGTGTCGGTTACCAGGCAGGATGGTTCTGTACAGGAAGGCAAAGTGTTTCAGCAGCCAGGGGTGGCCGAAGTGGCTGATGGCAAAGTGCCGCTGCACGAGGAACATGTACTGAAACAGAGAGCGGGTGGTGTAGGTCCCGTAGGCCACGCCCTCGTACAGTGAGCCGTCTGTCACATCCTGGAGAAGAACCATTGACTTCTCCATGATAGACAACACCTGCTTGGTCCAAAGGTATGCCTCTTGAAGATAACCTGGAACACAGAAGTTAAATCGCAGAGATTACCAAGAAATACACGTTGATCTAAAGATGGTGGATGAATCTGCAGGGACGTTTCCTCTCTTGAGGAACAGAATCAGTTTAATCAGAATAAAATTCAGCTGCAGAAGGATGATTTATGAATGGATTAGAGGCACGCTGAGGACAGCAATCAGAAACCTTCAGCTTCTCAGCCAGGCTGGGATTTACCAGTTTACCATCTACTAAAGTCATGTTCTGTTACAGGCTGGTTCCTGCCCGTCGGTCAGGTCCACTCCTGTCATAAGCAGAAGGAAAATAAGTGTCCCTTTCCCTTTAGGAGGGACAACCGTCAGGAGAACAGTCATGTTCAAGAGAGACGAAAGATTTTTACATACTTTTAAGATAAAAATCGTGTATAAGAGGCGCTTCACAAGAACAAAAAAAAAATGCATTCAAAAGCAGCATCTGCTCAGACACGTGAAAAGAGAGTTACAGCAGTCTAACCCCTCCTTTCCACCGGAGCCGTCAGCAGCACGCCTCGCTCGCGTAAGCTGCTGCTCGGCCATTCCCACGAGACGCGAAGCAGCAGTCACCGACAGAGCACGAAGTCACACGACTTTAGCAAAATCACGCGTGACTTTGTCAGTAAACACAACAACAGGCAGGAGAAAACAACAAAAATCACGTTAATAATTAGCATAAACTCACCATCTTGCCCCAAAACCGCAGACACGTCACCCCATGCATTATCCTTCTTGACGTTGTCTTCATAAAAACTGTGACTGGGATCAAACAGGATTGGGTGCTTCTCCACTTCAGTAATCAACCTTTCGTCGTCCATTATGGAAAAACAAAGGAGACCGCTAGCTAGGTGATAACTTTTTTTAAAGTAAAGCAACTGGAAGGCAGTACGTTTCTTTATTCTGAAAATCTCTGGAAGCTTCGCTCCGTTTCCGCGTCCGATTTCCTGTCTTTCCTTCCCCAAAAATGTCGAACTTGACCCGTTTCAGAGGCGTCGCGCGTAGAAAACAGAACCGGCGCGTAAAGGCCGCGGCATGCTGCTCCTGAGACGCGGCCGACTCGCGCTGCTGACGGCTCCGGTGGAAAGGAGGGGAGCGGGACCCAGCTTAGCAATGTTCCTGAGATGGAAGAAGGAAGAGCGAACCAGAGAACTGACATGAGAATCCAGGGTGAGAGCTGGGTCAAAGGTCACACCAAGATTGCTGACAGAGGGTTTGGTTCAGACCATCTGAGTCAGAGAGAAGAACCTGAGCTGTCACCCAGGGTTCTCTATGAACAGGTAAAGTAGAATCAGACCCACACCACACAGGCAGCCGTCTCATCCCAGAGCTGTCCTCTGCTGAGACTGGTTTAGTCTTGGGGGCGCTGGTCCATACAGACCAGGTGTTCACCACTAAACATTGACATTTACACAAACCAAGCACAGGGCCAAAACTCAAAACATCACTGGATATTTTCAACGGGTTCTGGTCTTTGTGGAGGAAACAGATCTGTTCTGATGTGCAGTTGCGGTCTGATGGGATCTACCATGTTCATGTTAGGTTACGTCTGAGTTTATCACGTTTTATCTCCAGACTTCACGAGTTCTCCTATCAGAACCACTTATTTGCTGAGCTGTATTTATGATCTCCGGCCACATCTATGTAACGTGACGGAGGAGCTATTCCTCCGAAGGTTGTTTGCCCTCTCTCCACAGATGCCTCTGACACAGTTTTAAGCTGCATGAGACTGCCTCAAGGTCATGCATCTGCTTCTAAAACTGTTTTCCTTCCAGCTCAAGAGAAGATTGAAGAAAGGACTCTTTACTTTTAATAAATCAAAGAACTCTATTTTTAATCAAGCTAATCAAACAAAGTGTTAGTCAATAATATAATGTTGACCAATCTGTGAAATAACAATGTTATGATTAATATGCTTTAATAAGTAATAAAGACAGTGCAGAATTATTAGGCAAATGAGTATTTTGTCCACATCGTCCTCTTCATGCATGTTGTCTTACTCCAAGCTGTATTGGCTTGAAAGCCTACTACCAGTTAAGCATATTAGGTGATGTGCATCTCTGTAATGAGAAGGGGTGTGGTCTAATGACATCAACACCCTATATCAGGTGTGCATAATTATTAGGCCACTTCCTTTCCTTTGGCAAAATGGGTCAAAAGAAGGACTTGACAGGCTCAGAAAAGTCAAAAACAGTGAGATATCTTGCAGAGGGATGCAGCAGTCTTAGCGTGATCATCGAACAATCAAGCGTTTCATTCAAAATGGTCAACAGGGTCGCAAGAAGCGTGTGGACAAACCAAGGCGCTAAATAACTGCCCATGAACTGAGAAAAGTCAAGCGTGCAGCTGCCAAGATGCCACTTGCCACCAGTTTGGCCGTATTTCAGAGCTGCAACATCACTGGAGTGCCCCAAAACAAGCTGAAACGTCAAGACTGATTGTTCTAAGGGTTTATGGACTGATGAAATGAGAGTGAGTCTTGATGGGCCAGATGGACGGGCCCGTGGCTGGACTGGTAAAGGGCAGAGAGGTCCAGTCCAACTCAGACGCCAGCAAGGTGGAGGTGGAGTACTGGTTTGGGCTGGTATCATCAAAGATGAGCTTGTGGGGCCTTTTCGGGTTGAGGATGGAGTCGAGCTCAACTCCCAGTCCTACTGCCAGTTTCTGGAAGACACCTTCTTCAAGCAGTGGTACAGGAAGAAGTCTGCATCCTTCAAGAAAAACATGATGTTCATGCAGGACAACGCTCCATCACACGCGTCCAAGTACTCCACAGCGTGGCTGGCAAGAAAGGGTATAAAAGAAGAAAAACTAATGACATGGCCTCCTCGTCCACCTGATCTGAACCCCATTGAGAACCTGTGGTCCATCATCACATGTGAGATTTACAAGGAGGGGAAACGGTACACCTCTCTGAACCGTGTCTGGGAGGCTGTGGTTGCTGCTGCACGCAATGTTGATGGTGAACAGATCAAAACACTGACAGAGTCCATGGATGGCAGGCTTTTGAGTGTCCTTGCAAAGAAAGGTGGCTATTGTTGGGTATTTTAATTTATCTACTATTGTTCTTATATTACCTCAAAGAAAGTCAGAACACACACACAGAGGGATTAGATTCTTAATTCAGTAAACTGTAACAAACCTTTAAACAGACAACAAACTCTGCAAAGTGTGACACTCTGCAGAGGGTGAGAGAGAATCAGACCATCAAACACAGAAGCCATTTTCCTCTCACAATCAGTTGAAAACTGCAGCGAGTATTTATTGGCACAAACACACCCATCCCTCCCTTGGTCTTAGAATGTACAGGACGAAGGAATTCTTCAGATACTAGATCTACAAGTTTCTTGGTCTGGCAGAAACCCCCTGGTTTGGCCTCAAATAATAGAACAAAATGCCTAAAGCAGAAAGGAGGTGCTGAAACACACACGTAAACAAGTAAGGGTTTTTCCTAACAACATTTCACAAAGGAAAAGATTTCACAACAAAGACGAACAATTAAAAATACCTAACAGCTATACTGGTCGCTGATTTGTTTTTGTATTGTTTTTGAATGTCAGAAATGTATATTTGGGAATGTGGAGATGTTATATTGGTTTCACTGGTAAAAATAAATAATTTAAATGGGTATATATTTGTTTTTGTTAAGTTACCTAATAATTATGCACAGTAATAGTCACCTGCACACACAGATATCCCCCTAAAATAGCTACAACTAAAAACAAACTAAAAACTACTTGCATTAAGCTTTGATATGAATGAGTTTTTGGGTTCATTGGGAACACGGTTGTTGTTCAATAATAAAATTATTCCTCAAAAATACAACTTGCCTAATAATTCTGCACTCCCTGTATGTTTCTATTCAAATAGGGTTTTATGACTTTAATCTAGCTGCACTAGAAATTCTGACTACACGTAATGTAAATGCATGACACAGTGCTTTCACTGAACCAATCAGAACCTTCCTTTCTGAAGCGTGGCATAGTCTCTGTGGTGTTTATAAATCTGCCAACTGTGATTCGACCAGAAATCAAAACATCCAGATTAATAAAACCAGTTCCCACGCCATCTTAGTTCAGTTCTCTACAGTTCTCTGAGTTCTCAAGATCTCACTGGAGTTTATCGCATTCTAAGAGAAGTATCGGACCGGCCACCCGGACTTCCTTTTTTTAAGCAAAGAACCAACAAGCTGGACAAAATCTGTTGCATTTTACCAACCAAGCAACGGTTCCTTTCAGAATAAAAGCTGAACTCACTGACCCTCCGGGTCCATCTGACGCTGTCAACCAACTGTCGCTTTTTACCTGGAGACAATCCAAAGACTAGTCTGTCGTACTGCTGACGCCGTTTCACCGGCTCCAGTGCCAAAGGGGGGTCCGAGGACCTGGCATTCTGGATCTGTACGGAGGTCTCATTTCAAGGGTATGTGTGGAGCGACAAATATGGCGTCTCATGTGTTTATGAAACTCCGATCATAGCTAAAAGCAAAACATCACAACATCACTCAGACTTGCTTCTCCGGATACGAGAGTTCTGATGACATCACTCACACATACACCATCCATCTCACGTCTCATTCACACCAAGATCCATTCATCACTTAAGCCCCCTTCAGACAGGCCATGAAAAACGGAAATGTTCCGGACTCTGTCCGTAAGACCTTTGTGTCTGAATACAAACATCCGGATAACGTTTTCCGTAATTTAACCGGACGACGCCCCTAGTAACAGGTCCGGACTTGTTACGGACAAGGTGGCTGCTTCAGACTGGTGAGGTCGAGTTCTGGACAGGGGGGAGGGGGAGGAGGAGGGGACCGGGGGACGCTGTGGCACCTAGATAGCTCGCTGCTGTAGCATGCGGCGAACCATGGCAGCTCGCCTCCTACGGTACCGTCTAGACGCGCGACGGAGCGCTTCACACCGCTTCAGTGATTCCTTAACCATTGAGCTTCATCATCCAGGTCTCTTATGCGTCTTCGTGTGTGCAGAATTATGCTTAACATAAGTCCGATCAGTGAGAGGAATTCTATCTCTTCATCTGCCATGTTTGACTGAACGGCTTTGTTTGGGTAAATGACGCGTGTGCGCCCGCCGAACTATGTCTCCCCCCCCCCGACATCTGGAACTTTTCCCTGCTGTGTGAAGGCAGCCGAAAGGACAAGCTCCGGTACAAAAGTGGTGTGTCTGAAAACACAGTTCTGGTTAAAAACCAGATTGAATTGTCCACACATATTCCAGAATGTCTGTCTGAAAAGGGTTTTAGAGTTTAGAGTTAGTCTTGTTTAAAATGGTTTAGAAATAAATCTTCTCTTGTCTCTGACTTAATACGAAGTGTTACATAATCCCTGCAATAAAAAGTTCCAATCTTCTGGTTAAAATAACCCAACGGTCCCTAAGGTTGATTTCATTTTTACTATGGAATCTTACGTCTTACGGGTCCTTAATTAGATGTAAATTAACTCTTTTACATCTACATGCTTAGGTTTAAACTCTAACGGTACTTCTTCTTAACCCATAAGCTCTGGAGACTGAGTACATCTCTTTGTCCCTAAAAAAAAATAATCATTTCTATCTGAATAAAACCAGCGTTCACCCTTTTATGACTTGACACAACAGAGGAGTCATGCTCAGGCTGAACAAGACAATAGATGACAGAGTCTGCAGAACAAAGCAGAACTGGTTTATAGAACCATCAACTAGAATGCCTCACGCTGAGGGGCCTGCCTCCTCAGAGGTTGTAAAGAGACTGCTACTGGCACTGGCGAGGAAGATCATAAAATCTGATCAAATCTAGTAATCTGTCACCAACATAAACGATTTTCGTGACCCTCCAGTTATGTGACCTGTTTGTCCACTCTGACCTTTAGTTGGCTCTTCTCCATCATCAGATGTCCTCCAACACCAGTTTACTAACATTTGGTTTAAACTGCCTCCATTAGGTGGGCTCCAGGTACATGTATGTTTGTTGCACAGTCTAATAAAGAGTTAAACAGCAACGCCAATATTTCACAGCTCTCGACAGGTTTCGTGATAGAGTAGGAAAGTTTTAACGTGCAAAAATAACGCAAATAACTGAGCTGCAGCAGGAAATGTGTGAAAGCTGCACATTTTATAATTACCTGGTAGATTCAGGAAAAAGAATATAAAGATTCATTTTAAAAGTAAGATCATTGAAAAACATCCTAAAGTAATCTGAGGTGAGATTTAAAGGTTGGTTTATGCTTGACGTGTCCGCGAGGTTCGCACGGCTCCGCGTGGCAAAATTGCATCATTTTAACAACCACGCCCCTCCACCGCGCCTCCGCACGGACCAAAATTTCCACACCGCGCACCTCGGAAATTTTCTAACCACGCGGACAGTCGAACACGGAAAAACATGGTGGAGTGGCGAGAACTGGTTATGGCAGAGGTTGGTAAATACAGACATTTGTATGATTCAGCTCTCAGAGATCACCGTGATCAACATGTTGTTAATAATTCTTGGAGAGAAATAGCTCGCACTGTCGGAAAAGACGAGGACGCTGTTAAAAATGCTAGAATGCCATGTTGTAAACAACAGTAATTTCTACTTCTACTATGGTGTAGTGTTGGATGCATGTCATAGAGCTCCATGCTGCCCCCTACAGTTTGGGAGAATATTGGCTCACCGCAGAGACGAGCCGCATGAACCATAAACGCTGCGAGTTGTGAAGCGCGTTCCAGCCGCGAGCCGCATCACCAAGCGGAAAGTGAATGCGTCAAGCATAAACCAAGCCTTACCCCGGGTTTCCACGGGAGCCGTCAGCAGCACGTTACTGCAGCAGCACGTCTTGCTGGCGTAAGCTGCTGCTTGGCCCTTCCCACGAGAGGCGAAGCAGCAGGGGAGCAGCTGTCACCGACCGAGCACGAAGTCACACGAGTGACTTCGTCAGTAAACACAACAACAAGCAGGAGAAAACTACAACATGGCTCCAAAATGTTTGTGTTTTATGTTCTGTCCGTTTTATAATCGCCAATACGGACCTGAAAAACAAAGGAGACCGCTAGCTAGGCGATAACTTCTCACGGGGACGCACAGTTAGTAACTTTTTTTTAAAGTAAAGCAACCGGAAGGCAGTACGTTCTTTATTCTGAAAATCTCGGGAGCTTCTCTCCATTTCCGCATCCGATTTCCTGTTTTTCCTTCTCCAAAAATGTCGAACTTGACCCGTTTCAGAGGCGTCGCGCGTAGAAAATAGAACCGGCGCGTAAAGGCCGCGACATGCTGCTCCTGAGACGCGGCCGACTCGCGCTACAGTAACGTGCTGCTGACGGCTCCGGTGGAAAGCCGGGGTTAGACTTACACCTGTAGAGTTCTAGTAGGTGGGGGTGGGTGATACAGCCTCAAAGTAATGTCAAAACTTCTGAAGGAAAAAAGTGCTCATTTTGACATGAAATCTTAATACATTTTCTGTCTTTTCACTAAAAATATTTTAAATTTTAGCTATCAGATATGTTATAGTGTGACTGTTTTCCTGGTCTGGATTCAGCCAGCAGAGACAAAGCTACAGTTAGAACACGGATCTGCAGACACCCACCTTGGGTCATGTACAGCAGACTTCCTGTGAGCAGAGCAACACAGTTGGTGGGCTGATGGTTGTGTAAGTACTGGAAGCCCCAGCCACGAACATAGGACTTCTCATACATCAAACGTGATGCGTTCCCTATCACCTGCAGAAAACGCTCCTGCTGGTTTGGATTCAAGTATTCATACAGGAAGTCATAGGCTGTGGCAAACCCAACCAAGGAATGTGCCAAAGGAACTTCATCCCAGGGTGCGTCTTTGACCAGCCTGCAACACAAGAATGCAAAACAAAATCAAAGTGAGAAATCAGGAACAACGCCATTCTCTATCACCATCATGATGATCATCATCACCTTCATCATGATGATCATCACCATCACCGTCATAGTCACCATCACCATTGTAGCATAAGCAAGCAAAGGTCATTGCACTGCCCAGCCAGCCTCATCAGTGTGCTAAAGGTCACCTGCCTGCTTTCCAAGCCAGAACACACACTCTATTCTGGAGTTCCAGCCACAATGCTAAATGAAAGCCTCTTTAAAAGGACATTATGGAAGTGTGACAGCCAAAACATGTATAGAAATAATAAATGTCTTCTTCATACATTCTCCTGCAATGCCCTGGTCCTGTAGAACGAGCCCTGGCATTTTTACTGTGATTGCCTGTTTTTCTGTAAAATCACAGAAAAAGAGAGATGCTCGGGTCGAGCAGGCTGCTTCATGCGCGTTCACGCTCAGGCATCGCCCGTAGCATTTGCTATCCGTAGCTTTAGCAGCAGAGAGAGAGGCAGTGCCACTTTGTCGCTGTTCCTAACGCCTAGTGACAAAGCTAGCTACATTTCTGAGGACCCTTAGCTACTTTCTGTAGAACTTTCTTCTAGATATTTCCTGCTAATTAGCAACAAAATAGCCGTTTTCACTCAGAACCGTTCTTTGAACGTTGTTTCAGCTGTCATCAAGGATGTAAATGTTACAGATACTAGCGCTTTAGCTCACCTAGTAAAACGTCGGACTCCCTCCCAGGTTTGATTCTGGATGTGAACATATTTTATTTAAAGTTTCTTTTTTACATTAATGGTATATTTTTTTTTACAGTAAGACGCCCACATTTTTATTTGAGACTCGCCGAACGGCATTGAATTCACAGATAAAAAAGATGTGGGTTCAACTTTCATTTTGGAACAATTTTTCAAGCAAGGGAAGGGAATGATCTGAGCATGCAGGAGGACTGACCCATCTTAAACCTTTGTCGGCTGTGCTGAAGAGAAAGCTACAGAACCAAATTATTTAGTTAATTAGCTGCATGTCCTCTGCCCTCCGGGCCACACACACACACAAGGGACTGTCTCAGCTGTTATTTTCGTTAAGGAGTGTGCACGTACAGCATGCGCGCCTCGTGCACGAGCCTACTATTGAAGCTGCAGTTACGCTTTTGGCCTGAGGGGGCGATCGCGAGCATAAAAATTCAAAACTCCATAAAGTCCCTTTAAAGGAGAAAGTGTACATTCATTCTTCACACCTCTGAACACCCCATGGAGGTATTGTATTTTAAGAAATATAGCTTTTCATTCAAATGCCTTGCCTCACTGCTAGTGAGGCTAGCACCAACAGCTAGCATTTTTAAATCACGCCTGAAAACTCACTACTTCAACCTAGCTTATACCACATAATTATGAACCTCACTCACATCTGCACTGTTTAAAAATGGACTCCACAACTATCAACTTCCGTACTATTGAGGTTCTTTTTTAAAATGTTTTTCAAATTTTTATTCTCCCTGTGTCTTATTGATTTTTAGCTGTTATTTTTGGGAATTTTGTTGTATTTCCTTTTTATCTTTTATCTGTGTTCGACATGTTTGTATAACGCCGGTTTAATTAACTAACATTTTTAGTGTACAGCGCCTTGTTTGGTTGTAATGCCTTGTGAATGCGCTTTATAAATAAAATTGGATTGGAAATGTTCAGTATTCTAAATTTAAGCTTTTAATACACTTAAACAGAAGAGTGACAAAAAATTCACCCCCCTCAGAGTTGTCATGAGTGTAAACTAGATCATTTAAACCAAAAACATGTTCTGGTACCAGGCTGTAAACATGTTTATTTCTGCTGTGAAATTGGTATTTTTAACATGGGAGTCAATGAGGATTTGCTCGCTTCTGCTGCCAGCCCCTAGTGGATGAGGGTGGAACTGCAGTTGTTGCCACTTCCTTATTGGCTTCATTTTTACTCCAGAATTACGCGGGCTTGGTGTCGACCCGTAAGGTTTTAATAATAATTTAGTTTTAAAACAATGTGTGTAAATCCTGACTGTGATGGACTCCTACGAGACATTCGTGTTTCGTCGTGGGCGTAATGGTTCCCGTCAGCATACGTCACTCAGACTCAAGCCTGTTAGTCATCTCATGCTTCCACATGAACGTCCAGTTAAATAAAGCATTACGTTAAGGATTTTAAAAGGCGGACATTACGTAGTCCAGTTATTTAGGCTCCTGGTGGAAAGGCAGAGAGGCTGGAGTATAGATGTGAAGTTAATAGAAATTCAAGCCCACCGTGTCCCACAGAGGACTGTCCTCGCGGGACTCTGCTCAGCGACATGATGGAAACACACACTGAACGTATTTGAGCACGGGGTTTGACGATGGCTGAAAGTCCTCTCGGTTCAGTCCGGAGCTGCTCTGTGGGCCTGTGCTAGCAGGAAAGAACCGTTTTAGCTTCACGTTTACAGAAACCAGGAAGTGGAATTTAGAGTCAGCCTGTCTTTCACCTGGACCCAGTCACCGTCTCAGCTCAGGCCCGAAGTATGCAACTCACATCTGAACTTTTCATTTCCTCTCCCTGGGGGAGTGGGGGAGGGCATGCTCAGCAAACAGCTGCTGAACATATTTTCTGGACTACAGACTTATCTGACCCGGTTTTCACCCAGGTTCTGCCCACGGGCAGAGGACGAGTCCCTGCTGGTGCAGAGAGGACAACAGATCTCGTCTACCACGCAGAGAAATGGAAGGACATCTCAACATCACTCACATCTGAAAGAGTAAAAGACAAAAAAAAAATCTACCAACTAGGCTGAGCTGCCATCCTCTCCATGTAGTCCCTGGCCAGGTCCAGGGCCCCGGCCCTGTGAGGGTACAGCAGGCAGAACATGGACAGCACACCCAGATTGTTTCCATAAATCTCATTCCAGCGAGCGCTGAACTCCGCAGGGCTCCAGGGAGGCAGGTACTCCTCCGGGTGCTCCAGCATGGTCTCCCCAGCCTCCCGGATCCTCTGGGCCAGGTCCCGGTGTGTTCCCATGGCAGCAAACTGCAGCTCCTCCACTTCCCCACGGCTGAAGTACAGCATGGGGTGACCCTCATAGTTGCCTCCCATGAAGGGAATTCCTCCACTTGGGTCCAGTTCTGATGTAGGTGCTGGAGTAAGTAGGAGCCACAGAAGACTTATGAAGAACACCGTGGGGGCCCCACGAGTGTGGGTTCTCATCCTCTCATCAGAAACGGGACTGTGGCATTGCAGACGGAGCTCAGCTGTGAGGGAGAAAAGAGGATTAGAGAAAGCCAGGCAGAGTTTTCTTACTAAAACTACATTCCTTGAATAATTAGATGCAGCTGCAGGTCTGACGATGCAAGCTTTCCATACTGATCCTGGAACAAAGGCTGCATGTTGCTAAGACTTCTCCCAGACTCCACGCGTTAGACGACAACTAAACACCGCCAGTCAGAGAAGTGCAGCCAGGCAAGCCAGCCTAGAGGACATCAGCAGTCCAACAGCACTGATTAGGAACTTCAGTCTGGTGGAAAAGCGTTTGGGGGATAATCCCAGAGATGGTTGTAACGTCCCGTTTTCCTCTGGCTTTAATGCTGGACCAGGGCTCCAGCTGGGGCGTCCTGGCATTCCTGCTGCAGCTAATGTGACTTTTGACCCTGTGAGGGGTGACATTCCTCTGAGGCAGAAGACCTGCAGCCAGGATGAAAGCATCAGAAGAACTCTGGACCGATTCGTGTGGGCCAGAGTGATCCATGACAACCCAGCTAGGGAGGAGGGTTGGTGTTCTGATCAAATCAACTCAACTTTATTTATACAACACTTTCATACAAAAAAAATGCAACTCAAAGTGCTTCACAGGTTAAAATGGCCCCATAGATCCCATATTCCCATCCCAGCCCCCCTCCCGCAACCAATTTCCAAGGAACGTACACTCACCCCCCCCCCCCCCACACACACACACACACACACACAAACAACGGAGTAAACAATAGGCTGAGTCCAGATGGGTCAGGTAATGGACGACACACCGATGAGGGTTCGATTCCTGCTCCCGACTCCTAAATTTGTTCCTATGAACCAAATTTATAGCCTGGCAAGCCAGACTAAATAAATGTATTATTTAGTCTGGCCACGCTCCATTGACGGCTCTCGGTTGTGGGGCGGGTTCTACCGTTGTCTTTCAAATGATCTCCGCATTCCACTGGACAATGAATGTGACATACTCTTGTTTCACTCTGTTGCATCATCCCACCCACCAGGCATATAGAGTGCCCTGATTGGCCCACAAAGCGGATAAAGCTCTGTGATTTGTTCACTAAGCAGATAGAGCACTATGATTGGCTCACCATTATGGACCAATCACAGCTCTTTATGTGTTTGAAACCCCTCTAGAGAGCTGTGATTGGCTAGCCAGAGTTCTGGTAGGAGCTGCTGAGGTTCCAATGGAGCATGCCTAGACCAAACTTTGCAAAGCAAGAATTTGGTCTAGTTCACTAGGCTACCAAATTTAGAATGTTCGTACAAATGTTCTGAATCCTTATTGATGAAACACTCGGCGGCCTCTCGTACGCAGGTACCAGGTGCTTGTGTCCGACGCAGCGCAACTGTGCGCCGGAGCAAGGGCTCTCCGACGGGCTCGCAGAGGGTGACAAAGACACGCCCCGATTTTTAAATGGTAAATGGTAAATGGCCTGTATTTGATATAGCTCCTTCTAGAGTCCTGGAACCCCCCAAGGCGCTTTACAACACAATCAGTCATTCACTCATTCACACACTGGTGGGGATAAGCTACGATGTAGCCACAGCTGCCCTGGGGCGCACTGACAGAGGCGAGGCTGCCGAGCACAGGCGCCACCGGTCCCACGACCACCACCAGCAGGCAACGTGGGTTAAGTGTCTTGCCCAAGGACACAACGACAGCGACAGACTGAGCGGGGCTCGAACCTGCAACCTTCCGATTACGGGGCGAGCACTTAACTCCTGTGCCACCGTCGCTCCAACAAACTATCCATCGAAAGCGCAAGCTTGTGATTGGTCTGGACGCCGCTTCCTGCAAATCTGTCAACAGCACCGCCTTTGCCCTATCACAAAGTAAGATGATGTTTAGCAGCAGACAAGGAACTGATAGGGCTGCCACGATTGGTCGACGTGTCATGAACAGTCGACGATTCATTTAATGGTCGACACGTCGTTTATTAAATGAGCATTTTTTAAATCTGGCCTGCTGCGGCGTGCTCGGCGCTTGCTTCCTGCCTCTCTGCTCAACGCACATGCGCACCCGCATCCGTGCTAAAGAGGCGTACCTTGTTGCTATTTCCTGAGGGAAAATTGGAAGATGAAGCTCTTCAACTTTGCCACCATGCCTCTTGTGAACACGTCATTTTTACGCACAATTTATTTTTGGTTTTAGGTGCCTGCCTCCATATGACTGTAGCATTTGTGTTAACAGGTTACAAGTTAATTAAAGCTGTTTGATCTTGTCTTTATTATTAGATGGCGCAGAGCTGATCACACTTCAGACTAGAAGCTAATGATGGTATTGTGAAAGACAGAAGACGGGAGTTGCCGGATTCTGAGGGCGGTGTGATTGGACGCCGGCCGGTCCTTGTTACGGGTAATGAGGCCGGAGAGAACAAAAGGGTGGCAGATCTACCAAGGTGGTGTGTGTGGTCGATCTGTCATTGTGGCACCAGATCCTGGGGGGAGGGATCGTTCGCAGTCGTTTAGGACTGCCGGCGACGAAGATAGTTGAGCAGGTGGCTGTGTTCCAGCGATAGGAGGGAAGGCGTGACGCCTTCTTTAGGTAGCGAGGGCTGGGAGTAGTTGGGTGCCGAGACCACGCCGACATCTGCCGCCGCAGACTCTGGCAGCCGGACCTAAGTTGTGGATTTACCCGCCGTCCTCGCAAGCTGAGCCCCGGGGCGTTGGACGGTGTTGGAAGCTCAGAACCCGGGGAGGGGGTCGCATCAACTGGGACAGCTAAAGCCCCATTCCCACCTGTACCGGGTCGGCCCAGGCCGGGTAGCCCCAGTTGGCCCCGGCCTGGCCCGGTTGATTCCACACATCCTTGCTTAGGTATGCAAGGAATGCAGTCAGAGACACTTTCAGCTTCTGGGTAATCAGCATGATAATGAATTGAGCATGCCTTAAGCCCATGTGGGCTGATTCTACCCACCAATCAGAGGCTTGCTCTAATGGAAGGTGTGAATTTGCTGTCAGCAGTGGGTGTGTTGGCCCTGGTGGGCCTGAAGCAGACCCCCTCGAGAAGAGGGCTGAGAATGAGCCTTGGTTGGCTCGGAAAAATACCAGGCCACCCAGATATGTAAACAACCTACGCTACCCGGCCCGGGCCGACCCGGTACAGGTGGGAATGGGACTTAAGTACCGCTGCTTGTTTAGATTTATGCTGATCAGCTGGCTTTTAGCATGAAGGACTAGTGTTTTATTGTGGATCATGATTGCTTATTGCCGGTGTGAATAAATGCTCTTTTGGATAAGTTGCTGCCTACTGGTGCTGTTTCCGGGTTCTGCCTGGAGGGCAAGGTATTCTGCCCGTGCTCCCACTGAAACTCACACTACAGTATATTAGTGCATCCTGGTGCAATAAGCTAAACCATTATGAATGACACGATTCGTCGACTAATCACCAAAACTGGCGATTGGTTAACCTGGGGCGACGGTGGCACACCCCGTAATCGGAAGGTTGCAGGTTCGAGCCCCGCTCAGTCTGTCACTGACGTTGTGTCCTTGGGCAAGACACTTAACCCCTGTTGCCTGCTGGTGGTGGTCGGAGGGACCGGTGGCGCCAGTGCTCGGCAGCCTCGCCTCTGTCTGTGCGCCCCAGGGCAGCTGTGGCTACATCGTAGCTCATCCCCACCAGTGTGTGAATGTGTGTGTGAATGGGTGAATGACTGATTGTGTTGTAAAGCGCCTTGGGGGGTTCCAGGACTCTAGAGGGCGCTATATCAGATACAGGCCACTTAATAAAATAGTCGTTTGTGGCAGCCCTAGAAGAACGCTTCACGTAAAAACTCTGAAGATATGACCGTTCATTCACCCGTGACTGAAGGGGTACAAAAATATGCAGCAAGCGTTTTATTCGTGGACGAAAAAGACTAGAAACGTGGGTTTAGAGGTGCCAATCGCATGAAGAGGTGGGGGAGAATGAGGGACAACTTTGTCTGTGTTAAAAAGTCTCTGAAATAAATTAAAACAATGTAAGTACACTATTGTGGACCGGATACGTGACTGTAATGGTGGCAGGATAGCTCAGAACAGCGCTACGCCCTCTGCTGTCCTGGCGGGGAATTGTTGTGCAGCTGACGGAGAAGTTTGAGGGCAAAATGTCTGTCAGTGTGTGTGCGTCTGTCCCTCGGGGAGCTGACGGAGATGTGTACGTTAGTCTTAAAGCACAAGGAGCCGGTACAGTTGGATATTCTGTTTAGAATTCAACGTCGTGTCTATGAGGAGACCCGAGGGCTGTAGGAGAACCGAGGGCTGCTGTCTTTTCTGACTTTCACAACCTACGTCTAAAGCTGTGTTTACAGAGATGCTTCCAGTTGTTCCAGGTGTGTCTGGTTTAATGTTTACCTGTAGCAGGTAAGCTGTTTGAATGACCAGACAAGCTAACGGGCTAAACATTATTAGCAGGTTATAGAAGCCATCAGCTCACATGTCTGCTCAGAACTAGTCCCTGTTTCTCCCAACAGCAGCTGTTCATCTTAAGCAGGTCAGATGCTCAGAGTTCAGGTTCTCCACAGAAACAGTCCAGCAGATCCGTCTCATGCTGGACTTTGTCTGATGAAAGCTGTCTGGGAGCACCGGCTGATCACTGATGGCCTCTCCTCAGTCAGCACCAAGGAGTTTCTCCTTTTCACCACAATGATCAGGAAATGAACGTTTTCAGTCTAAAAGTATCCAAGTAAATCCAGATATGGTACAACTTTTCAAAGGTTAGTCAGTTGGGATGTGGTAACCAGGTCTGGCTGCTGGCATGTGGTGACGTCACAGCTCATACGTAGGACTGCAGGTTCTGTAGGTGTCTCCATCTGAGGGGCTCTCTGAAACGGAGGTTGTACACGTCCCCCTGCCCGAGCCCGGGTCCCTGTGAGGCTCTTACCCTGCCTTCACTCCTAAAAACAACAGCTCCCCTTTCTCCCGGTGCTGCTGGTGGAGGGGTGTGCGGAAAGCCTCTCCCCCCATTCCCGGTCCCACTACTGACTCCCATCCACGCACACAGGAAGTCTTGTTTGGTATCGACTCCCTGGAAGGATCTGAAATCACAGGACAGAAACCGGCTCTTTTACCTGTCAGAAGCCTTGTTCAATAACCGGCGCGTTCGTGCCCGCAACTCCCATGTCTCCGTGCGTCTGGCGAGGCTTCAGAGGAGCGATCCGCGGCAGTGGAGAAGTTTAGAGACTGAACAGGGTCGGAGGGGTGGGGGCAGCTGGGCAGACCTCCCCCCTTCCCCCAACCAGAGACCTCCCTCTCCTAATGTAGACCAGCGGTCTGCAAACTGTGGCTCTGGGACCATGAGCGGTCCTCAGACGCTCAGACCCTCCCCCACAGCCTGGCCAGCCTCTGTTCTACACAGATAACTAGTCTGGTTGCTCACAGGCAGAGGCACATGAGGAGCGGGACCAGGGGGGCAGCTAGAGATGTTGGGCCCCATGAAAAAATATCAAGTTGGGCCCCCTGGCGGCTCCTCTATAAGGGGCGCTGTGGCTCCACCTTCCCAGATGCGAAGGGAGAAAAAAATTGAATTAAAAAATATATATATATACTTTATATTGGTGTTTCAGTTTTGCTTGATTGTGTATGTCTACAAGCATTCTTGCTTGTTTCAATGTTCAAATGAACTTGTCAAAATAAAGTAGAGACCTCTGAATTCATTTACATTTGATTGAGACAAAAAGATTGTTTGTTTAATGTCTTCAATTAGAAAAAATGCTGCAAGGTAATGTACTTATGGTTTTCAAAATTATTATTTTTTTATTAAAGTTTGAAACTTTTTTGGGCCCCCTGACAGCCTTGGGCCCTTAGACTCGTCCTAACCTTTCCCCCCTTTGCAGCGCCCCTGAGCGGGAATAGCCAGCTCATATAACCAATCAGAAAAAGGCAGAAATGACCACTGTACCTCGCTACGCTGTAATTTTTGTTTTCAGCTGTAGTCAAAAATGGCATCTGGCGACGGCACAAACATCTTTCTTTAGAAGAAAGGCTTTTAGCGCTTCTACTTGTTGTGGTTTTAAATACGTTCATGTCATTTAGAACAGAGGAAAGAGCCGCAGCGAACTCCGCTTCCGTCGCCATGTTAAAGCTGCTTTCCGGAGTTTTCAGAAATTATGTATGATTTTTCAGAAATCCATAAAAGTGATTATCTCATCATGTACCGTGATAAAATGTAAATGATACGTCTTGTTTTTTTTTTGCTAAGCACGCCCCCTGCCCCGTGGCACTAGGGGGCGCTATAGCTACCCCTGGATTAGTCATTGCACCCCCATAGCACCCCCAAGTAAATATTAGATTTTCTTTTTTTTTTTTTACAATTTAATTTTAACCCTTTGATGCATGAATTATGAAACCTTCAACCATGAATTTTGTAACATTTTTTTTTCGTTCATCTTCAGGTGTGAATGAAACAAATTTCAACAAACATTTTTTGTAAAATGTTATAATTTACAAATAATTTATTACATGTCCACCTCGGTGCAGCGTGCATTCTGAACATGAAATATGTCGGCTTGACTTGCTGAAGTCCAAATGGAGGGGCTCAAAAGCAATAAAGTCTTCAACAGCTGTGCTTAATAGCAAAAACTAATAATAAATAAACATTTTGAGTACCTGTCCACTGTAGTGACCATTACGCATCAAAGGGTTAATTTAACGTGTGGATGTGATAATATTTAACATACAAAACAAAAATAATCAGTAAATGATCATATAGATAGTAAAAACTTAAACCAAAACAGGAAATGGATGTTAACCTTTGACCTCATTTTCCACCTGTGAACGAGTGAAAGTTAGAGCTAGCGGTAAAAAGGATCGGTTTTTGTTGCCCACATTTCCACGGGTTCAGTCAGAAATGAATGAATGTTTGGAAGTGATCTCAGGCCCACAAACACCTACGGATCTGGATGAAGAGAGTCAGCCCTCAACCGCCGCAGCAGTCCAGGGTTTTGCCGCTGGAAATGCTAACACTAACGTTAGCTAACCTTGCAACACTATAGATGGTTTTCTGTGTGGCTGTATGTGTTTATGATTTCATGGAAAAGTCAGCGATTGTTCAAATGTTTATGATGTGTATTAATGATTGTTTCAGGTGTTGTTGAGGTTTTGCGCACGCACTTCCTTCATAGCACCCTAAAAAAAAACAAGACTAGCTCCTTCATAGCACTTGCAGACAAAAATTTCTGGAGCCGCCACTGCATGCAATAGGAAACTGAGCGCTGATCAGAACTAACCAAAAACGTTAGACTACCGCTTAGATGCTTCAAATTTAAGGAATACCTCAGCTGATGCAGAGTTGATTAACTTTTCACAGACAAGTACATCTCTAAAATATAAATATGCGAGAACACAACATGACATGATAATAGTATCGTAAAACAACGTGTTTTAGCTGTTTGCCGGCTACAGAAGGTCATTTATAAACAGAAACGTAAAGTCGCGAGCTTAAACAGAGCAACAGATTTTTTTTGTGTGATATGCTTGTCAGCCACTAGATGGTGCCATCGGATAAAAGCAATACTCCGGAAAGAAGCTTTAATGAGAAACTCAGCATCGTGGTGTGTGACGTAGGCTACTCAGTGCTGATTGGCTCAGTTAGAATCCTCAGAGTTTGGGGTTAGCCTAAGTCTCCCCCCTTTCCGGTCGGCTCACGGGTCCCCAGAAGAACGATAAAATTAATTTAAGTCATCACGGCTAAAAATGCTATTTTCTAATCCGCTTTGCCTTACGCCCTGGATCACACATATGTTGTACTGCAATTTAAGTGGAATGTAATGATGGGTGTTTCCACCACGCCAGTCATGTACTTTGAGATTTATCGACTTGTCAATGTTCGTAAATAGAATGACTACATCAGAACGTTACATGTGTGACGTCACCACATAATCGGCTCTCCCCTACTCTGCTACTTACCAGATGACCAGATTTATGGTGGTTCTTTCCTCCTGTGGGAAGTTTGCTTCACTTACAGCCATTTTCCCTCAGTTTTCTCCGTGTCTGGTTCGATGACGTCACTTTCGTGAAGTGTATTTGTAGTCCTGGACTCTTTTTCACACAAAACCTGAACTAGCGTTTCCCCCCGTTCGAAAATAAGCTCGTTCTGGGTATCAATATGTGTCTTTAAAATTCACGGACATCATGTGTGAAATCCGTGGAACAAAACACGCGGAACTAGAAAATAGCTTTTTTAGCCCCGTTGACTTGCATTCGTTTTGTCGTCCTTCCGGGGACCCGTGGTCCGAACGTAGATGGGCGTGACTTAGGATCTCTATTTGAATAGAAGAGTTCCTAGACCCATTTCTTCCCACATGGAAGCATGGGGCTGGCTGGTCAGGCTAAAAGTTGCAGACAGAAATGATAAAGTAACTAATTTTTAAACATTGCTCACATAAAAAAGCAGGTTAGGTTGCTTGTGATTGGTTGGGTAGGGTGATAAAAGATCTGATCTAGATCTGAGGGGGACACCACTCTGAACTGGAAAGGCTGTAGACCCCTGGTCCTGAAGGTGGATCTGGAGACAAGAGCAGATGATATTGTTCATGATGTTTGACGCCCTGGTTTCCACGATGATAGTCTGCAGAGGTGTGAAAATGACCTCTAAACTTACACTTTGTGAGACTTCTTTAATCCAACTCTTCCTGCTCCGTACAAACACATTATGACAACACATTCCCCGGTAGACAGTCACTGTGTTTCCATAGAAACAAGTAATTCAGAGGAACGCCGACCTTCTGCCCACTCCCACTGGAAACCTAGCTACTCAGTAGCTTGTTACTGATGCTCAGGATCCTGTCTATGATGGGTCAGCCTCTCCGTGTCAGAAGTCATGGTCCTCAGCTAAACAGCTGGATTAATGTCTCCGGGTTAAGAGTGAGCCTCTGCTCAGATGTAATACGCCTGGTGTCTTGTTTCTGAGTGAGGGAGATCTGCAGTGGTAAGGCTGGTTTACTGGCACGACAGCTCAGTCATGACCAAAAGACGGACATTCTGGATCCAAGCAGTTAGCATCAGCGTTCTTCATAGGGTGGTTTGGTTTGGCTCCGCCTCCATTATCCAGGATGTGCTTGGAGTAGAGCTGCTCCTTCTCATCTGATGAGGCTGTTCAGGAAGTCTCCTGGTCCCCTGCCCTGAAGGTTTTCTTGGCCTGTCCCACTGGGAGGAGACCCAAAGAAGATCTAGAACCTTCTGGAAGAACTATACATCCCATCTAGCTGGAGAACATCTGAATACCTCCTACCTGGAGCTGGAGAGTCACTGAGGTGAAGAATGACGTGGCCACCCTCATGGAGCTGGTACCTCTGCAACCCCAGCTCAACGCTGACATTTGCACAACAAACCACAAACCTTTTAAAAATATATCATAGAACACTTTATTTTACCGACAGTGCCTTGACACGAACACACAGAGGAACTTTCCCTGCCTTTTCCAGAATGTGACATCACAAAGGGAATGGACATAGGGCCCATGTACATGTCAGATGAGTCAAATCACACCAGCAATCACGTTGGATGACTCTTCGTCTCCTCAGACTTACGTCTGCCGACTTGGGCAAGCTCAGGTTCACCTTGTTGTCAAGAACAACTTTAGGACATTTAGATTTTTGTAACGTTCACGTCCCGAACGTGGAGCCCAGCTTGGCACTTGGCCAAGAACATTCTATAGTCCGGGTTGTTTCCCTTTGCCACCTTCACACCAGAATAAAAAGCAAGTAAATAAAACGAGGCCCAAAGAAGACAACACCTAAAACAGTTTACATAGGGAGCCAAAGTATCTCCTGGGTCACAAGACTGACAAAAAACAAGAAGACTGTCAGTGAACGGGGCCAAAAGTCATTTCCTGGTTTGTTTTGCCCTACGACATGAAACACACGCTTAAATTTCTACCCATGGTCCGCACGGTCTTATCCCGACTTCACACTGGAGGCATCAGCGACGCAGAACGTTTTACTCACACGCAACGCTCAAGGCAATCCACGCCGGGAGAGTTTTAGCCACGAAGCAGCTTCTACACCGTCCTCCTCCCCAGACTTGCAAGACCTCAAAATCCATTGAGACTTCAAAGGTCACGGTTTGTTTATGCCGTCCACCATTAAACCGAAAAGAAGGGAATCATGTTTGATGTCACATTAGTTGTTCTCCACTGCCGGGATTAAAGCAATGAAAACACACCGCTGCACTTCTGGAACCATTCTGGGAGTAATCACGCCAGTAGGTCACCTGCATTGACATAAGCTACATAGATATAAAATCGCATCACTGCAATGGTCTTTTATTTTGAAATGAACCAGAGGTTTTACACTGAAACCGTGTGTGCTTTCCTGTCTAGCCCTATGTTAACTGTGGAAATTGTCGTGTCCCAGAAGTGGCTCGTGGCCAAAATAAAACACGATCCCATCATCATCAGGGCAGCAGTAGCTCAGGAGGTAGAGCGGGTTGTAATCGGAAGGTTGTAGGTTCAATCCCGGCTCCCACCAGAGAAGGCTGCTGTTGTGTCCTTGGGCAAGAAATTTAACCCACCTTGTCAGCTGATGGTGGACAGAGGGACCGGTAGCGCCTGGGTTCGTCAGTCTCACTTCCACCAGCGTCATAGCGCCCCAGGGCAGCTGTGGCTACCTTGTAGCTCATCATCACCTGTGAGTGAATGTGTGATTATGTTGTGAAGCGCCTTGGGGGGCTGGAGAACCCTAAGAAGGCGCTGTACAAATACAGGCTATCTACCATCTTTAGCAGTGCTGCGAGCTGCCTCTGGGACATGCCTGAAAGTTTCCAGGCTGTGGGTGGTGGGATCAACCCAGCAGACCATAATGGATTCTATTGGAAGCAGCGACGTTCCGTCACGCTGAAGCCTCCGGTGTGAATTGTAGCTTAGACCGTTTTCTCACTCTTGGAAGCTTGTCCATCGGGGGCGCCTCCTTCCCAGATGTGGATGGAAAAACACATAATATCCATCTTAGTCGTGAATACATTTTCATATGAGCCACATCCAACACAATACCAGGAATGGCGCTTGGCCACTGGCCTGCAGGGTAAGGTTTCACTTCTCGTAAAAGTTTATTTGACCATTTCAACAAGATTTTTTTTCAAATTTGCCTATTTATTTACTACTATTGTGGAATTGTGGGCATTTTGCCACCGTTTATTTGAACAAGATGATTATCCTAAACTAGGAAGGGAGATCTATTGGAACATCAGCCCCAACCAGAACTTCCTTCACCCGCGCACACTGCTTTGTTCATCTAAGCTGTGGCCGTCTTTAGGAACCCAGAGGTGCGAGTGGCCATGGCCATCTTCAGACATCTGGATGTGTAGCTGGAGCTTCCAAATCAAAATATAATGACTCATAGACTGAAGAAACACCCCCCGACTACATATGGCTCCATAGAGGATATGAGGAATATTTGCTCCGATTCCAGTGCCGAGCTGTGCTGCACACTCCATACCTGTTCTACCTGCAGATTCCGTGTTTCCATCGTGGAACGATCACTACGCACACAGACGAAATAACCATTCAGATGTCGGTTAAAGCATGTGGATGAAGTACGAGTTTACACAATCACCACAAGCACGCACACAGCACAGGTCAGTTATCTAAAACAGAGAATATTTAGCTTTTATTGTCTCATCCAGTAGAACCAAGAATCAGCTCCACAGGGGCGTAGAAATAATACACACGTCTAAAACGGACCACCTCACAACAAGAGTTGTACAGAAATACACACACACACACACACACACACACACACACACACACACACACTGAATGTGAAAGGGAAGGTCCTCCGGTTCTGTTGATCTGATTCTTGAGGTAAACGCTTCGGGGTGAAGGAGAACCTAAACTGTTCACTCTATTTCAGAGGTTGTGAGGATTTGGGACTGAGATAAATAAATAAATAAATAAATAAATAAATAAAAACAAGAGGAGGTGACCAATTAAACGAGCAGAGGAAACACCATAGTACCATATGCAAGCGCACAGACGTTTATTTCTCGTTATGTCCACTACACTAAACCACAGAACAACTTCCACGTGTAGATGCTATAGAGTTACTGTGGCTCACATTCACATGGCGTCTCTGGACAGGTGGCAGGTGTGCGTGGCTCAGGTGAAGGTGGAGTTGGGTGGAGAACTACAGCCGAACATGGAGGCACATTCCTCTCCTGAGGCAGGTGATTCAGAGAGGACCGGTTATGTGTGTACTTTGACTACAGGTGCTCACTTCGTTTCAGCAGTGAGTCGGGAGGTCTGGGGTAGTAGCCGGTGGTGCTGGGCTTGTCAGGAGAAAACCGCGGGAACTTGTAGTCCAGAGGGAGATCTACACAGTGAGGACAACAGGGACCGGTCATCATTTAATGATTTTGTTATTATGGGTGAGTGAGTGAGTGAGTGAATCTTAAAGGTGCATTATGTAGAAATGAAGTAAAAACGACCTCCTGTGGTACAAAGTGGTTACTGCAACCACTTTGAACAACTCTGGAGCTCTTGCCAGAGTCATCAAATTACAAATGTGGGCGCTGCAGCGTTAGCTCGCAGGAGACACGGCACCCCCACACTCACTGATGGGAAACAGTAGCTACGTCCCTCTTTCCTTTGTTTTAAAACAGGGTATCTGCAGGTTTAAGGGAACCAAATTTAAGACTATTTAAGACCTTTTTAAGGCCACTTTGACCAAATTTAAGCTATTTTTAAAAATAAATTTAAGCTATAATTTCCAGCTATTGCCTGGAACCGGTGCTAACCACGTCGCGAACGTGGGATTAGCCATCCAGTTACCATTAAACTTGCACCTCCCCATGACACAAGCTCCCACTAGCTTAATCAGCTAATGTGCTCATCTAAAAATAGCCCGCATTTACAACCAGCTGAATGTGTACGGTTCCGCTTACGCCGACATCATCAAAAAATGCTGAACACTAGAAATTCATGAAAATTGTATAGAAATAAAAGAATCTTGTTTATTGGGTCTTTGATAATTTAAGACCTTTGGAAACTATTTAAGGATTATTTATCATTTTAAAGGATTTTTAAGGCCTTAAATTTGGAAAAGCAAATTTAAAACTTTTTAAGACTTTTAAGGACCCGCGGATACCCTCTAACAGGAGAAAAAGTGACAATCCAGCAGCCAGCTGGATATGAAATATGTTCCCGTACAACCTTCCTTCCAAAATGACTGAACTCTTGGGATGTTCTCACTTCTTACATACTGCACCTTTAAAATCCAGTCTTGATCAAAAGTTTAAGACCTGTGGATCCTGACAAGGTTCCAGTTGAGCTGGGGTTAGGGTGGGGTTTGGGTTACCCTAACCCCACCCTAACCCCATAGACAACAAGAAGAAACAGGAGCAAGGCTAAATATTTCCTGAGCAGCAATTTAAAGTGAAACAAGCTGTTTTATTGGGTGGTCTTAAACTTTTGGTCAGGACAATTTGAAGGGAAACTATTTTTAGGGATTCTGTTGCCTCCACCCACGTACCTGCTATATGCTCCACACTGGGGATGGCCATGGTGCTGTATGTGTGGATGCAGTGGCAGCACCACGTAAGTTTCTGGTGCTCCTCCTCATCTCCTTCCATTCTGCGCATGTCCACAAAGTAGGAGCCCCACTGGTTGGACCCGGTAGAAGGGGACTTCATGCCTTGACCCTACAGAGACAGTCAACACAAGCAAACACACTATTTCTGTGAGAGGGTTCCCTGCCAGGAAACAGCGGACCTGATTAAAGGAGACGGAATTCTAGGGAATGGAGATGTCAGTCCAGGAATCCAGAGTTTCATCAAAGTTAGTTATGAAACAGGAACCGTGTCCTCTGGATACAGAAAAGCCACCTGGTGAAATTCTGCTGGACCCAAACGCGACGTCAGAAGACCAGCTGTTATCTGTAGGGCCCAGGAGGTTCAAAACCCCCATCCTGAAAGTGCTGATCAGTCCAACACTAGACGTTTACTCTGCTGTTCGGGTCTAGTTGGTAAGTCGTTCTCGGGGGGGGGGGGGGGGGGGGGGGGGGGGGGGGACTGGTGCGCCTGTTTGAGCTCAAGAGGATTTAGCTGGAGGACAGGGGGCATTACACAGCAGGATGTGGAGTCTTATTTCCTGATATCTGAACACCTCTCCTCTGATTGGCTAACAGCAACGTTGATGTTTTATCTCTACAGTAAACGCAAGCCTGGAGGAGTTCTGCTGTGTGGTGAAAAAGCTAATACTAATGGTTAGCTTCTGCTACACATCCCTTGCTGTTTCCTGGACGCTAAACCAACAACAGCCTTCCTCATCGTGAGTCCAGATGGGTGAGTCCATCAAGTGACATAGATCCGTCGGGCTTTTCTAACCCTAGAGTTTCACCGAGCTAATGCAGGAGATAGGTGTAGGAGACTATTTTCATGTTCAGCCTGCATGAAACACTCAGAGTGACTGATTATAATCAGAAATAATGACTGTTCTTCAGTTAGGTTGACCTTTAATAATGTTCTTCTACGTTACACCTGGGTGCCCTGGAAACATGACAGCTAGCTGCTAATGACCACAATCCTCTGCACAATAATGCAGCATAAAAGCTGACTGTGGTTTATGTTTATGTGCTTAGCAGACGCTTTTACCCAAAGCGACTTACAATTTATTTTTTTTTTTTAGCCTATAGGGCATGTTGTGATCTGTGGGGGAAACCGGGTACTTTTATAAATAGCTCAGGCACAAAGTGCACTGAAACCTTTTACAACAGAGCATCTCCATGCTAGCTGCATTCACACTAGGCGTTAGCCGCTCGGTGATGGAGGACATGAAGTCTTTCTTCGATGTGAGGTTGTTTAAAAGCTCCCTGCAGCAGGAAACAAAACAAAGATAAATTAAATCATGTGCATCTGTTGCACTGAGAGTCGCTCTAACGTGGCGGAAATGTTCAGCTAGATGAACGCACAAACGAAGCTTTGGGCGGTGATTGGGATCAGCCGCGAACAGTCGGCTATCGGAAGAACAGGAAGTTAGTTTTAGTTATTTGCTGACTTTTTATTGTGAAATCATAACTTCCTGCTGATAAATAACCATTTATTGCAGCGTGAAACAGGAAATGAGAAGAATTTCAACATTTAAAGTTTCCCAACTGGTTTAAATTTTAGATCTTAGAGATAGTTTCTGAAAGATCGATCAGTTACGAAGGAATGGAAAAGTGGTTTGATAGTGTTTTCCTTTCATAAAGAGTGTGAGGGTAGAGTTGGCCAGAGCTGGGGGGTGGGGAGATTGTCTTACCTCAAACTTTCCCCTTTTCTCCTGCGGCTCCACTTGGGCCTCGTTGGACACTGCTGCATCACTTTTTGGAACACCGTCTCCCTCCATTTCCTCTACTACCATCACTGTCTCCCACTTCCCAAAGACGGTGGCAGGAAACACGTCTGACCTCATGCTGTCACCAAAATAAGCCACCTGCAGGGTCAGATGTGCACAAGCAGCATGCTGAGCATCATTCCAGTGCTTTTTCCACCGCACGTCACAGGTAAATGTTTTTACTCGACTACACCAGGCAGAAGCTCCTAACCCTCCCACAGGACGAGCCCCTCTCTTGCCTCGGACACAATCAAGGTCACCGGAGGAGTCAGACAAAAGAAGTGAAGCTTTTTAGTAGCCGTGTCACCTCCCTCCCCCTCAGGAGGCTCTGCTGTGTCCCAGCCCCCCCTCAATCTAAACAAACAGAATTCCTGTTAACAGCCGGTCCTCATCCACCCACGGTTGCTGCGCTGCTTTAGCAGTCCGGGATCACTACAATAAATATTTATGAAGGCCAAAGATTCCAGCATGGAGGCGACTCATCAATCCAACACTCCATCAGCCAGAACCACATTCCTCCTGAAAGAGAAACCTGAGGTCCAGACAGCTAAACCTGTTCAACTGGAAATGAAATGGTGTCTCAACCACACCTAACCTGTGACAAGCAGACAAGTGCAATATTCGGAGTGCAAAACATTTATTTATCTCTGGTTTAATGACAATAAATTATTTCTCAATTGGAATAAAACAAAATTCATGTTTTTTGGTAACAGAAAAACTAATGATTTAGTTACGTTGTCTATTGATGGTTTTTTAATTGATAGAGTAAATGAAGTCAGATTCTTAGGGGTTCTCTTGGACCATAAACTTACTTGGAAATCCCATATAAAATATATAAAACAAAAAATATCCAAAAGTATTGGAATTTTAAACAAAGTCAAAGGTTTTCTAGAAATTTCAACGCTTCAGACATTATATTATTCATTTATCTTACCATACTTAACTTATTGTATTGAGGTTTGGGGCAATACGTATAAAACAAACACTAATCCTTTGTTTCTGTTACAGAAGAAAGTTTTGCGAATTCTATATAAAGCAAATCCAAGAGAACATACAAAAATATTTTGTTCTATCAAAAATTATGAAATTCAAAGACTTAGTTAACTTGAAAATTTTACTAATTATGTTTAAGGTTCGAAGGATCTTTCATGGCGGTTAAAACGAAGAGTCGGAGTACCCGGCCCGGAGGGTTACCGGGGTCCCACCCTGGAGCCAGGCCTGGGGTTGGGGCCCGTGAGCGAGCGCCTGGTGGCCGGGCTTTCGCCCATGGGGCCCGGCCGGGCCCAGCCCGAACCGGATACATGGGCTCGTCCAACTGTGGACCCACCACCCGCAGGAGGAACATGAAGGGTCCGGTGCAATGCGAATCGGGTGGCAGACCAAGGCGGGAGCCTTGGCGGTCCAATCCCCGGACAAGAACACTAGTTTTTGGGACATGGAACGTCACCTCGCTGGCGGGGAAGGAGCCGGAGCTTGTGGCAGAGGTTGAGCGGTACCGGCTAGATATAGTCGGACTCACCTCGACACATTGCATTGGCTCTGGAACCCGAGACCTGGAGAGGGGTTGGACACTCTACTTTGCTGGAGTTGCTCCGGGTGAGAGGCGGAGGGCTGGGGTTGGCTTTTTGTTAGCCCCGAGACTCTCTGCCTGTGTGTTGGGGTTTACCCCGGGGGACAAGAGGGTAGCTTCCTTGCGCCTTCGGGTCGGGGAACGGGTCCTGACTGTTGTTTGTGCTTATGGGCCAAATATCAGTTCAGAGTACCCACCCTTTTTGGAGTCCCTGGGACGAGTGCTAGATAGTGCTCCATCAGGGGACTCCATTGTCCTGCTGGGGGACTTCAATGCTCACGTGGGCAATGACAGCTTGACCTGGAGGGGTGTGATTGGGAGGAACGGCCCACCTAATCTGAACTCGAGCGGTGTTTTGTTATTGGACTTCTGTGCAAGCCGCAGTTTGGCCATAACGAACACCATGTTCGAACATAAGGATGCCCACCGGTACACTTGGTACCAGGGCAGCCTAGGTCACAGGTCGATGATAGATTTTGTAGTCGTATCATCTGACCTGCGGCCGTATGTTTTGGACACCCGAGTGAAGAGAGGGGCGGAGCTGTCAACTGATCACCACCTGGTGGTGAGTTGGATCAGATGGCAAGGGAACATGCCGCGTAGACCTGGAAGACCCAAACGCATAGTGAGGGTCTGCTGGGAACGCCTGGCAGAAGAACCTGTCAAGACAGTCTTCAACTCCCACCTCCGGCAGAGCTTTGACCACGTCCCGAGAGCAGTGGGGGACATTGAGTCCGAGTGGGCCTTGTTCCACTCTGCGATTGTCGAGGCGGCTGTTGCTAGCTGTGGTCGTAAGGTGGCCGGTGCCAGTCGTGGTGGAAACCCCCGTACCCGCTGGTGGACACCAGAGGTTCGGGGAGCCGTCAGGCTGAAGAAGGAGGCCTACAGGGCGTGGCTGGTCTGTGGGTCTCCGGAGGCAGCAGACAGGTACCGGATAGCCAAGCGGGGTGCAGCAGTGGCAGTTGCCGAGGCAAAATCTCGGGCGTGGGAGGAGTTTGGTGAGGCCATGGAGAAAGACTATCGATCGGCTCCAAAGAGGTTCTGGCAAACTGTCCGGCGCCTCAGGAGAGGAAGGCAGCAACTCGCTCACACTGTTTACAGTGGGGATGGGGAGCTGCTGACGTCAACTGAGGCTATAGTCGGACGGTGGAAGGAATACTTTGAGGAGCTCCTCAATCCCACCAATGCGCATTCCGAGGAGGAACCAGAGCTGGGAGGCCTGGGGATGGACTGTCCGATCTCAGGGGCAGAAGTTGCTGAGGTAGTCAAACAACTACACAGCGGCGGAGCCCCGGGGGCAGATGAGATTCGTCCTGGGTATCTCAAGGCTATGGATGTTGTAGGGCTGTCATGGTTGACACGTCTCTACAACATTGCGTGGTCATCGGGGGCAGTTCCTAGGGAGTGGCAGACCGGGGTGGTGGTCCCCATCTTTAAGAAGGGTGACCTGAGGGTGTGTTCCAACTATAGGGGGATCACACTCCTCAGCCTCCCTGGAAAGGTCTACGCCAAGGTACTGGAGAGGAGGGTCCGATCGATAGTTGAATCTCAGATAGAGGAGGAGCAATGTGGTTTTCGTCCTGGCCGTGGAACTGTGGACCAGCTCTATACCCTTGCAAGGGTGATGGAGGGGGCATGGGAGTTTGCCCAACCAATCCACATGTGCTTTGTGGATTTGGAGAAGGCTTATGACCGTGTCCCCAGGGGCACCCTGTGGGGGACGCTCCAGGAGTATGGGGTGGGTGGCTTTCTGTTAAGGGCCATTCAGTCCCTTTACCAGAGGAGCGTGAGTTTGGTCCGCATAGCCAGTAATAAGTCGGACCTGTTCCCAGTGAGGGTTGGACTCCGCCAGGGCTGCCCTTTGTCACCGGTTCTGTTCATCACTTTTATGGACAGAATTTCTAGACGCAGCCGTGGTGTGGAGTGTGTCGAGTTTGGTGGCAGGAGAATCTCGTCTCTGCTTTTTGCGGATGATGTGGTCCTCCTAGCTTCATCCAGCTCTGACCTTCAGCTCTTGCTGGGTAGGTTCGCGGCCGAATGTGAAGCGGCTGGGATGAGGATCAGCACCTCCAAATCTGAGACCATGGTTCTCGACCAGAAAAGGGTGGCTTGCCACCTCCGGGTCGGGGGAGAGGTCCTACCTCAAGTGGAGGAGTTTAAGTATCTCGGGGTCTTGTTCACGAGTGAGGGTAGGAGGGATCGGGAGATCGACAGGCGGATTGGTTCGGCGTCTGCAGTGATGCGGACGCTGAGCCGATCTGTCGTGGGGAAGAGGGAGCTGAGCCAGAAAGCCAGGCTCTCGATTTACCGGTCGATCTACGTCCCAATCCTCACCTATGGTCATGAGCTTTGGGTAATGACCGAAAGAACGAGATCGTGGATACAAGCGGCCGAAATGAGTTTCCTCCGTAGGGTGGCCGGGCTCAGCCTTAGAGATAGGGTGAGGAGCTCGGACATTCGGGAGGGACTCGGAGTAGAACCGCTGCTCCTCCGGATCGAAAGGAGCCAGTTGAGGTGGTTTGGGCATCTGGTCAGGATGCCTCCTGGACGCCTCCCCGGGGAGGTGTTTCGGGCATGTCCTGCCGGCAGAAGGCCCCCGGGTCGACCCAGGACACATTGGAGAGGTTACATCTCCAATCTGGTCCGAGAACGCCTTGGGGTCCTGCCGGAGGAGCTGGTGGACAAGGCCGGGGAGAGGACGGCCTGGAGCTCCCTAGTTGGGATGCTGCCCCCGCGACCCGGACCCGGATAAGCGGAGGAAGACGACGACGACGACGACGATGTTTAAGGTTGACGCTGATGGTGGCGCGTCACTTCCTTCTCCGTTTATCTGCGGGCAGCAGAGGACGTTGTCGCCCTCTACTGCCCGCTCTCCCCTCTCTACCCTCTCCGACGATGCAGTCCCATGCGTGGTCCAGCGTGTAAACTCCGTCGTCCCTGTTCATGGTCCCACATCCACGTCTCCTTATCTCGATTGCATCGTCGGAGAGGGGAGAGCGGGCAGCAGAGGGCGACAACGTCCTCTGCTGCCCGCAGATAAACGGAGAAGGAAGTGACGCGCCACCATCAGCGTCAGCTTGAAGAAGCCGGCAGCCGTCGGCGAAACTGTAGCGTCAATAACAGGTAACACAACCGTTTCTGTGTTTTATAAAAGAACGACAACATGGAATTAGAAATAACGCACAGCAAGAACACACCTAAGATTATAGAGTTTGGGTCATTAGGTTCAACAATCAGCCCCAAATTAATTAGTAAAAAATTTAAAAAAAGCAAATAAATAGTCAAATATTACAGGTGTGATTCTGTGACAGGTGCTTTGAGATTTATTGTTTTCCCCAGTTTGTTTGTTTACTTCATAATTGGAAATTCCAACTTTAGAGTAGAAATAATGAACTTGAACCCCCCCCCGTCAGATTGTTTTTCAAAAATGTTTCCAGTTTCAATATAGCAGCTCCTTGTAATAACAATAGTAGCTGTGGTGGAAACATGTTTATTTTACAAGACGAACCTGTAAGCGTGCATCTAAAATCGATGTTATGGGTGTATTTTCTGAGGTAAAAGGAAAGTACCATGACTTTTGTCCTCCCCGGCATAGACGTTAAAGAATGGACGCCGCACCGACCGCTACTTCCTGCCAGGGTGTTAATGCATGAGCTGAGTGCTCAGGGCTGTCAGGTCTGTTTAGTATGGGTTCCTGCACATGTGGTCATAGGGGGTATGGACAGAGTGGACTCAGTGGCCAAGGCTGCCCTGAAGAGCAGTATAGTGGAAATGGATGTTGTGATGGGCTCCCCGGTGTATTGCTCTGAAATAGGCAGGCAGGGGGCTGTGGCAGGCCTCCTGGGATGGTGAGGTGATGGGTGGTCATGGGTCAGTCCTCACTTATGGGAGAAGGAACTTCTTGGTCCTAACCCGGCTGAGATTGGTCCATTGTGGTCTTCGAGGCAGACTGCTTTTA